AAAGCTGGACTGGAAGCATATCTCAAGTGTTAGGTATCATCCATGAGCAGAAAAAAAATGAAGCCTAGAGTATGAGGCCCTGGGTTCAAGCCCCTGTAGTGGCATAAAAATAAGGAGGCCAGGCGCTGGTGGCACACGCCTGTAATCCTAGCTACTCAGGAGGCTGAGATCTGAGGATCAGGGTTCAAAGCTAGCCCAGGTAGGAAAGGCCCTAAGATTCTTATCTCCAATAAACTACTAGAAAACCGGAAGTGGCACTGTGGCTCATGCGGTAGAGCGCTCGCCTTGAGCTAAAGAGCACAGGGACAGTGCCCAAGCCCAGAATTCAAGCCCCACAACCGACCAAAAAAAAAAAAAAAAAAAAGAAAGAAAGAAAGGGAAAAAAAGAAAAAGAAAAGGAGGGGGAGGGGAAAAAAGGAAAAATATAGAAAAGAAACAAATTTAGGGAACTGGAGGCACGGCTCAAGTGGTAGAATGCCAGCTGTGAGTGAAAAAGCCAAGTGAGAGCCTAAGGCCCTGAATTTAATCCTATTACTGGCAAAAAGAAAAAGAAAAGAAAAAAAACTGGAACCAAGGCTAGACATGGTGGCTCTTGCCTCTAATCCCAGGTACTGGAGGACTGCTTGAGGCACCCCATGCAAAAACATGAGATACTATCTGATAACTAGCTCAAGTAAAATGGACTGGGGTGGGGTATGGTTCAAACTGTAGAGTTCCTGTTTATCAAGAGCAGGCCTTGAGTTTGAACTCTAGTATTACTGAAAAAAGAAAGTATAGGCAAAACTTAAAAAATGGTGACTTATGCTTTGTGGGCACATTGGAGCCTGTAGCTTCAAAGATCATGATGAGACATGTGGCATTTTCTTTGTCATTAGTGAGTTTCTTCTTCTGTTTCTTTGTGCCAGTCCTGGGGCTTGAACTCAGGGCATTGTGGCTAAGCTTTTGCTAAAGGCTAGTACTTTGCCACTTGAGCCACAACTCTATTCTTTTATGTGTTTTTTTTCAGCTTTTTTTGGATGGTTAATTGGTGATAAGAGTTTCATAGACTTTCCCTCAAACCATAATCTTCAGATGTCAGCCTCCTGAGTAGTTAGGATCATAGGCATGAGCCACCACTGCCCAGCCAGTAAGTTTTTCTTCTCCCATCATGGACCCATTTATTAGGATCATACTTAGCAGTCAGCAACCATGGTGATTCTTGGGACATATGTAGTTGAACAAGGTGTGGGTATTGCTAAGTCACCCCACCAAGTGCCTCTCAAGAACAAGCATGCTGATGTGTCACAGCTAATTTCATTTCATGACAGTTAATGAGTGGAGAGAACTTCATTTCCAGTTTGACCTGTTGATACACATTCTTTACCCCTAACAGCTAACTAGATGTAGACAAAAAAAAATCCACTCCAAATTAAAGTCTAATATATGCTTTAATTGGGTGTATTTTAAAGATAGAGCCTAAGCTGGATGCCAGTGGCTCACGCCTGTAAATCTTAGCTGCTCAGAAGGCTGAGAGCTGAAGATCACAGTTCAAAGCCAGCCAGAACAGGAAAGTGTATGAAACTTGTATCTCCGATTAGTTACTAGAAAGCCAGAAGTGGAGCTGTGTTTAAGATGGTAGAAGGGGACTAACCTGTAAGCAATAAAGCTAAGGGACACCGGCTCAGGCCCCGCATTCAAGCCCCAGGACTTAGCATGCGTGCAGGCGTGTACACACACACACACACACACGCGTCATTTATCCCAAAACCTCCTGGTTTTTCACTTAGCTGTTACACCATCACCTCAAGCTCCAGGTGTGCAGTGCTGAATTCTACTTACTCACCTAAACTTGCTCCCCAACATCGCAGCCAGTGGCCCCTCCAGAACCCAAAGCCCTGAGCCCTCGTGCCAAGTTTGACAGTTTCCTCCTCACCACCTAACCCAACACTAGTCCCGTCCCTTCTGGTTTACATCTGTCACCTTTTATTGTTGGGTTAACAGAGCGAGTTTGGGGAGCGCTGCTTGACACCCTTACACTTGCCGGCAGAGGAGCGGGCTGTAGCGGAGTGTCCGGCAGAGGGCGCTGGGGAGCAGCGGCGGGCCAGGGACGCCGCGGGGCGGGGTGGGCCGGGCCGGGCCGGGGGCGGGGGCGGGGTCAGGCCGGGCCGAGGCCAGGCCGGGCCGGGGAGGATTCCGGCACTTCCGCTGGACGCCTTCCTCCCGGGACGGCTTCGTTTCCCAGCTAAGTGACCAGCCGTCCGCGTCCGGCCCGGGTCATCATTAAAAAACACAACCAAGTGACAGGTTTCTGGGCGGAGTCCCTGGAGATTCTGGTTCAGCTGGAACTGCTGGGGTCAGGTCCCTGACTGGAAGACGTTCCCGGCGATTCTGATGATTAGGGGCTTCGGGACCCGTGGGTGGGGCCGCCTGGATCCCACCACCCCAGCTGTGTGCGTGCGTGTGTGTGCGTGCGTGTGTGTGCGTGCGTGTGTGGTGTGTGTGTCTGTGTGTGCGCGCGTGTGTGTGCGTGCGTGTGTGTGTGTGTGCGTGTGTCTGCGTGCGTGCGTGTGTGTGTGCGCGTGTGTGTCTATGTGTGTGCGTGCGTGTGTCTGTGTGTGTGCGTGAGTGTGTGTGTGTGTGCGCGTGTGTGTCTATGTGTGTGTGTCTGTGGGTGTGCGTGTGTGTCTTTGTGTGTGTGCGTGCGTGTCTGTGTCTTTGTGTGTGTCTCTGTGTGTGTCTGTCTGTCTGTCTGTGTGTGACTTTTCTGGCACCCGACCCCGTCCTGGCAAAGTGGGGAGGCGAACGGTGGGATGCGATGCCTACGTCCTGAGGTTGCTTCAGGTTTGAGCCGGGTCGGGATAAGGCACGGGTTCGGGATCAGGCAGAGGTGGTTTCCTGAGGAGGGAGCACCGCCCATTTCCATTTGGCAACTGGCACCGGTGTAGTTTGGGGAGCCCGGGCTGTCTTGGCTCCTGCCAGTCTTTTCAGTTCAGTTGCTTTTCCTCTAGGTGGCAGACAGGAACAGGTGCTTCATTAGAAGGGCTTCAGTACAGCCATAGAACATCCAGGGAGCCACCGGATGCATTTCTTGGTTGCAAACAATCTGTTTCCACCGTTCCACCTTCTTTCAAACCCTCTATTATTCTTTTTCCCCCTTCCTCCCATTTCCCTGTCTCCTCCAAAACAGTCCCTTAACTGGATTCCTGTGACACCATCTGAGCTCCCTTCCCCAGTCATCCCTGGGCTCCTATTTCCCCTTGGAAGACACTTCAGGGCCTGAAATCTGTTGTAGGCAGCATATCCACTGTTAGAAATAAAACCTAGGAGGATTTTTATTTTATTCTGTGTCTTTGACTATCTTGAGCAGATCTGCACATCTTTAGCTTGGGCTTCTAAAAGCAAAGAAAGCAAACCCATGTGAGTGTTCACTGTGCTCACACATTGCTGTCCCTAAACAGTGCCAGGGAAAAAGATTCTTCATTCCCTGTGTATTCACACACCTTGCATAAACCCCTTTGGGAGACAAGCCCTGGGAACTACAATTAGGTTTAAATTTAAGGAGTCACAGTAAATCACAATGCACAGTCTGTAAAACTTCCAATATATTGACTTATTTTATCTCTCAACCTTTATGGTAAGTGGGAATGGGGGTGAGGAAGGGAGGGAAGGGAGAAAGGAGAAAGGGAGAAAGGGAAGAATGAAGGGAGGGAGGGAGGGAGAATCTTCTCTTCTGTTACTGGCTTACAAAAGAGACTTGATTAGTTCAAGGTCACACAGCTGGTTCCTGACTGGGCCTAACCCAGCCCATTAGATTCTGTCCATCTCTCTGGAATCTTAATCCTAAGGATTTATTTATTTAGTTCTACTAGGGTTTAAACTTAGGGCTTTTGCTTTATCACTTGAGCCTTAGCCCTTTTTGCTTTATTTTTATAGGGTCTTTACCCCCCTCCCCCCTCATTGGCCTTGTTTTGAGATCCTACCTATAGCCTTTCCTCTTGTCTGGGATGGCAGACATAAACTACCATGATATTTTTTTTGTGTGTGTGTGGGGGGGTCCGGTCGTGGGGCCTGAACTCTGGGCCTGGGAGCTGTCCCTCAGCTCTTCAGCTCAAGGCTAGTGCTTTACCACTTGAGCCACAGCGCCACTTCTGGCTTTTTTCTTTTTGCTTATGTGGTGCTGAGGAATCTAACCCAGGGCCTCATGCATGCAAGGCAAGCGCTCTACCACTGAGCCACCTTCCCAGCCCTACCATGATTTTTACTTGTTTGTGAGATAGGTGTTGCTAACTTTTTTGCCTAGCCTAATTTCTATCTATTGAATAGCTGGGATTACAGGCACAAGATATCATATCCAGCCTTCTTTGGACTTAAATACATTCATTATATCCATCTATGTATGCCTTTGAACTTTAAAATGGGTGAATTGAAGAGTGGGGTATCTCACTGATCCATGGATTTCATAAATCAGATGGACATGCAAATTGCATGACCATGTCTGAGACTTTCCAGAATGAACTTTCTGGGATGCAGAGGGCAGTGAAGAGTAGTGGATAGTGGGTGATTAAGTGGTCCTTAAAGATCCTAAAAAAGGTTCATTATGGCGACAACCAAGTAACATTCTATCAAACTGACTCTTGTAGATGACAACTCTAAATTTGGAAATATGGAGTAGAAAAACTACCTGAACTTACTGGAAGTAAGGGGAAAAAAGCCAAAGGATTCTGGAAAGGAATCAAAACTTGGAATATGAGTGAGTTTCTTAGCTTTTAGACTTCTATCTTTTTTCTTTGTCGGCCGTGGGGCTTGAACTCTGGGCCTGGGCGCTGTCCCTCAGCTCTTCAGCTCAAGGCTAGCGCTTTACCACTTGAGCTACAGTGCCACTTCCGGTTTTCTGGTGGTTTATTGGAGATAGGAGTCTCACGGTCTCTCCTGCCC